GTAAATAAGGTGGTCGCAGGGCAGCACTGCCCAATCAAAGATTACGGATGCCTTCGTCTTATAGCACTTTATACAAATCCATTTGGCTAGTCGATGAATTACACGCCAAGCATTCATTTAACCTAGAAAGTTAACAAAAACAAGTATAACAAATTGAAAAAAAAAAAGGAAGTTCGAACAAGAACTCAGTCTAGCTCCAAATTCCTTAAACGATCATCAACTAAACAACGAAGGCAAGCAACATTTGGCGCCAACATTAAATCTTAAAAAACAAAAATTTCTTCATATTCGTTCGATGCACAAAACATAAGGTCTCGTGCGATAAACAGATAGCCTGACAACTTTAAAGTAAACAACACCTCTAGGAACTGGTTTTCCCTAAATGACAAACAATAACCTGTCGGAAAAGTACAGCGAAAAATTTCAGAAAGATAACGCTCACTCACCATAAAATAAGAACAAATTTGAATAAATTCAACAACATTGTCAACTCCCCACATCAAACTACGACCAGCACCAGAAAAGAAACCTAAAAACAAGTCAATAGACTGCCACGAGAAAAGACAATCTATCTGAAAGAGAGGGGGTAATTGTCTTAGAAAACAACTATCATGCTGAAATTTGAATGATGCAAAACGCCCACTGACTGTAGCTAACCGAACCGAACCAACCTCATCTAAGAACCTACAAAAATTAATTAACGGTAATACGATTATGTAATACATCGTCAAAGTGCTACAGCTAAGCAAAGTTCAGCAAAGTCCAGTTCGTTTTATTAAGACAGAGTTCAAAAGAGAGTTCTGCTACTGCAACCCTTTCTTTGACTTCAGACGGAGTCCTTTTCTTCACAGGCTTCGAACAACGATGGCAGGTTTTATGTTGACGGCTTGAAGGCTCAGGTTCAGGTAATGGCTGAGGAGGAGGCTGGAGAGAGCTGTTGTGGGACCCAGGAACTGAATATCTGAATATACAGCGACAAAGAACACAAAACACGATGAAATTGGTTATAGACAGGCCAAGAGGGGTGAAAGCAACATACTCGACGTAGGAGGAGTCAAACGTTTCCTCAATCTGGTCAATAAGACTATCTGCCTTTCGCCTTACAGCACTAAGCTGATTATCGTAGAGTTGAAATTTTTCATCGAGGCCATTAATCAACGTGCGGTTAATTTTAACAGGAGGCGGGATCGCAAGAGACTCATGATGCAACTGTAATGGAATTAAGTCTTCTGAACTCGGGTTCCATTGAACGTAAGTAACCGTAGCGGTTGAAAACACAGGTAGTGACACCAAAAGACGCTCGGGAAGAGTGGCTAAGCTAGCCTTCATTCCAACAAAGCTAACGTTGCATGGAAAGTTATACACTGCCAAGGTAGAAATAGACAACAAGCCACCGGTATTTAAAGTTAACGTTCAAGAGGTTGTAGACAGAAACTATCTGCCACCAAGATGGATCAGCGGATGTATGTGGTCACAGTCTGGAGCGGGTTGATGATTCCTCGGGAATGAAAGTTTCAGATCTGGATTTCAAGCAAAAACCAACCATTGCAAGCTAGAAACCGACTTTAATACATTCTTAGGACAAAGAAAACCTACTTCACTACTAAAACACCTATCTAACGCTTCAAAAGAGACTACTTGTTTAGATTTAGGGCAAGAAATTAAAGCAAGGTTTGTATGTTGAACAGGACTTGTGAAACACTTTCCTGAAATATTAAACTTAAGCGACGTCAAACGCTCTACAACACATAAGTCATTTTGATCTCCGATCACAGGTGCCAACAACAAAATATCAACAGTCAGGTTACGACCGTCATGCTCAACATCAACCATAGGACTTGCTAGAACAGACAAACCTTCCTCTTAAGCTGATACGGTCAATTTCAAGGAAGGATCAACAACGAGTTTTCTTCTGGTTCCCAAGTTGACTCACTCATCGGAAAATCAAGCCATTTCACAGAAAACTGCATTTTCCCTTTCTTTCTACCCGATTTTAGAATCTTCTCAGCAGGAAACACAGTCTCATCATCTATTACTGTGTCATCAGGGTGTGACTGTGACTGTTCCAACCTATTTTCATCTTCTGATAACAAAGAATTCTCTCTAGAGTTACAAACGCGCAAATGTTCATTGGCACTAGCATTTTCAACAACAGGAACTTCTGGTTCAAAGCAGTCCTTTGGAAAATCTGACTCGTCAAGATCAGGTTCGCTGGGATCATAACTGAGAGGAGGGTCAATTGGACGCAAATTTGGATCGACAAATGGTTTCATTCGGTTAGCGTGAACCGCAAAAGTAACCTTCTTATTGGTGTCTGTACGTAACCGAAAATGAACAGGAGAGGACTTCTCGACAATCCTGTATGGCCCTAACCAATTATATAAGAGCTTCTTGGACAAACCCTTTTTAGACCTAGGGGTATAAACCCAAACACGCTGACCCACTTCAAAAACAGGTTCCCTAACATTTCGATCATAATAATCTTTCATTTTCTGCTGAGACCGCTGCAAATTCTCTCTTGCTAAATTTTGCGCCATTTCTAACTTTTCAACAACACGCTTACGATGCTCTATAACTGAAGAAGACATATTATCGGAATCCAGACACAAATACTTAACATCAATAGGCAAACGGGGTTCGCGCCCATACAAAACATAAAAAGGGGAATCGCCGATTGCTTCTAAAACGGAAGTCCTATGAGCAAATAAAATAAGTGGAATAAAATCATCCGAGTCTTTCTGATTTTTGGCTACATACATCGAGAGAGACTGACATAAGGTAGAATTAAACCTTCAACTAGACCATCGGTCTGAGGGTGGTAACTAGAAGTATTGACCTTGTAAATCTGAAATATTTTGCAAACGTCGGCTACAATTTTGGACAAAAAGTTTGTCCCTCTATCAGAAAGTAATACCCCTGGGGCACCATGCTGAGAAATGATCTCATCAACCAAAAGACGAGCGATCACTATTGCTTCAACACTCGGAACTGGAAATGCCTCACACCAACGAGTGAGGTAATCGCTGAACACCACAATCTACCTATTGCCCTTATTTGACGGTGGGAGGGGTCCCAAAACATCCACAGCTACTCTATCGAATGCACCCTCAACTGGAATTGGAAGCAAAGGCGCCTTCTTCGAATTTCTAGGCGACTTTCTCATAGAACACTCAGTACACGACTTACACCAACACTCAACATCCTTATACATCCCTTTCCTCCAATATCTCTGCTTGATTTTATCAAACGTTTTATGTACACCAAAATGCGCACCGGAAACATGATCATGGACGTTGGACAATATTTCAAACCTCAACGACGCTGGCTCAACAAGCTGAGAAAATGAGTCATAAGAATTACTCCTGCGCTTAGAGTCTAAATGGTAAAGTAAACCGTCATGACCAACATAAAAAGCATTACTGGTGAGCAAAACCTTACGCGCGGCATGATCATCAAATGGTAACACATCGCTTTCAAGTAAAATCAATAATCTCACTCAACTCGACATCACGCCTCTGCATTTCTCGAGTCTTTGAAACCTGTGGATCCTCCCTCTGGAGAGAATTGAACTCACATGTTACATACGGATGCCTAGACAAACTGTCGGCGTTACCGTGAACCTTACCAGGGCGATGAACTATCTCAAAGTCATATTGTTGAAGAAGTAAAGCCCATCTAGCAAGACGACCTGACGCATCCTTAACATTCATTAGCCAACGCAAAGAGCTATGATCTGTGACAACTGTAAATCTACGACGGTGGAGATAGGGTTGAAACTTTTTAATCCCCTCTATCAAAGCAAGTGCTTCTCTTTCAGTCGTACTGTAATTTTTCTCTGCTTGATTCAAACCACACCATTATATGCGATCACTACTTCCTTTCCATTTTGAATTTGACCCTAAGTAAAACCAATTCCCGTAGAACTTGCATCAAAGAACAACAGAAAGGGCTCGCAGAAATTGGGATATGCCAAAACACGGGCAGAAACTAAAGCACGCTTCAACTTACCAAAAGCGACTGCACATTTTTCTGACCACTTGAAAGAAACACCCTTTCTAGTAGTTAGGTAAATGGTTATCCTACAGCACTTTTTTCTGTTTATTTTCTGATTAAACCGTTTGAAATTTATGTCATGACTTTTCGTGTCATTTTGAACCGAATATCTTTATCATTTAAAAACCTCTGATTATCTCTGTCATTGAAACCGTCATTAATTTTAATTTTTTCCTAAAATATTTTTTTTTCTGTTTATTTTCTGGTTATTTCGTTTTCCAATTCCGTCATGGCTTTTTTGCTATCATTTTTATGATTACCCCTGTTATTTAAGAGACCTCTGTTTAATTCTGTCATTGAAAACCGTCATGACTTTTTGATATCATTTTTTTAGCTTATTATCCCTTATCAAATTTTTCACAAATTTCACAATCCCACAATCCCACAAATTTCTAAAATTATAAATAATAATGTTTTTAATAAGAATATTGAAATTGCGTTTGAATTTTAAATATAAGTTAAGAATTTATTTATAATAATAAAGAAGGTATGTCTAACCAAACAACTAATGGTTTTGAGGGTAATAAACAATTTCAGAATTTGTCTTTGGATGAGATAAGAAATTTAGTAAACGAACAAAAAGAAGAACTTAAGAAAGATTACAAAGAAAGAAGAGAGAGAATTAAATTGATTAATCAATATAAAAAATTGACACAAGCTAGAGAAAAAGTAAGACAAGGTATTGATATAAAAAAAGAAATGAAAAAACCCAAACCCAAACCTAAAACTCCAACCAAAACGGTTGTTAATTCTAAAAAGAAAAAACCTAAAACCAAACCTAAAACTCAAACCAAAAAGGTAAAATCATTCGATGATTATTTTGAGGAATGTATAAAAAATAGAAAGATTCCAGAAGATACCCCCCTTATCTTCGTAAAGCTCTTGAGCGTGCTATTTTAGAATACGACCAAGGACTTGAAAAAGAAACTATTTTAGAATATGACCAAGGAGTTGAAAAAGAAAAATCAGCTTTTGATGATTTTGCTACTAAGTATACTATTCAAGGAATTCCTGCTCTTACTCCAATTAATTTTTTTGAGCGAATAAATAAAACTTTAAAAGATTTTTTTACATATCATCGAAATATAAAATTTAGGATGATTTTGGTTTGTATCATGAAAAATCTAAATTATAAACAAAAATTTGATAATATGGAAGTAGAAGAAGATAAAGCTTATTTTACTTCAGGTAATTTAATTAATATGAAATCAACAAATGTTGACAAATTAATAAAAACATGTATAGATGGTATTGAAGGAGGTATTGAAATGTATCAACAAACTGGAAGTTCATGGCAATTTAAACAAGTTGATAAGCTTGATATTCATACCGTGGAATATAATCCAACAAAAGGGTCATCTTACATTCCTCTCCCAGATTGGATATCAAATAAAAAGGCTATTGTTAATATACAAAACAAAGATGAAAAATGCTTTCTTTGGTGTATACTTAGATATCTTCATCCAAAAGAAAAAGATGAACATAGACTAACAGGTTTGAAAGAGTATGAGTTTTCACTTAATACTAAAGGACTTACTTTTCCTATGAAATTAAAAGACATTACCAAATTTGAAAAACTTAATCCAGAGCTTCCAGGAATTAATGTTTTTTCAGTCGATGAAAACAAGAAATTTTATCCTTTAAGAATGGCAGAGAAAGATTGTATTAATACTATTGATTTGTTTTTGTGTGAAGAAGATGGTGTTAGTCATTATTCACTAATTAAAAATTTTAGTCGTTTGATAAAGACGCAAAAAACTTCGAGTAAGAATGGTAAGATATTTATTTGTAAGAAGTGTTTTTCTCATTACACTAAAGAAGAATTATTACAAAAACATATCTTATATTGTTCAAATAATGAGACGGTTTCTGTAAAAATGCCCGCATCAGGGTCAATGTTACGTTTTAAAAATTATCACAAACAACTTCCTATTCCTTTTGTAGCTTATGCGGATTTTGAATGCTTTACCAAACCAATGAATACTTGTAGTCCTAATCCAAAAGATTCTTATAATTACAACTACCAAAAACATGTACCATCAGGATTTTGTATTTTTATCAAAGGAGTGGTTGATAAAAAAATCAAACCCATTATTTATTCGAAAACAGAAGAAGACGAAGATATATCAAAAGTATTTGTAGAAAAACTTACAGACGCAACTAGAGGTATTTATAATGATTTTTATCGTAGACCAAAACCTCTTATACTAACACAAGCTGAACAAAAATCATTTGAAAAAGCGGAATTTTTTCATATTTGTAATAAAGAATTATTGGAAGACAAAGTTAGAGATCATTGTCATTTTACGGGTCAGTACCGTGGTGCTGCTCATAACAGTTGTAATCTTAAGTGTAGGAAACCATTAATTCTTCCAGTTATATTTCATAATCTTCAAGGGTATGATGCTCATTTGTTTATAAAACAACTTGCAAGTTTACCAGGTGAGTTAAATTGTATTCCTTCAACAGAGGAAAAATACATATCCTTTTCTAAAAAGATTAAAGTTGATGAGTATAAGTCAAGACGAAATGGAGAGACTATTCCGTTATATTTTGAAATACGTTTTATAGATTCGTTTAAGTTTCTTCAAACATCACTTGCTAATCTTGTTTCAAATTTACAACCTTGTGATTTCCATAATACAAAACAAGTATTTAAGAAAAATGTAGATCTACTTACTCGGAAGGGAGTTTATCCTTATGATTATGTTTCATTGCTTGAAAAACTATCCGAAACACAATTACCACCAAAAGAAGAATTTTATTCGAAACTAAACGACGAAGACATAACTGATGATGATTACCAACACGCAACTAATGTATGGAATACTTTTAAATGTAAATCATTAAGAGATTATCATGATCTTTACCTAAAGACTGATGTCCTACTTTTGTCAGACGTATTTGAAAACTTTAGAAAAACTTGTCTAAAACATTACAAGTTAGATCCGGCTCATTATTACACGTCCCCAGGTTTAGCTTGGGATGCTTGTCTTAAAGAAACAGGACAGGAATTACAGTTACTAAATGATTATGATGTGTTAATGATGATTGAAAAAGGTATTCGTGGAGGAATAACTCACATATCAAAAAGATATGCTGAAGCTAATAACAAGTATATGAAAGATTACAATCCTGATGAGGAGTCTAGTTATATTCAATATCTCGATGCGAATAATCTTTATGGTTGGGCGATGTCACAATCACTTCCAACACATGGATTTAGTTGGATGAAAAAAATAACAAAAGAAAAAGTGATGGAAATTTTAGAGAAAGCAAATCATAGTATGTTTAATCGTGGAAGAAAAGGATACGTATTTGAAGTTTATTTGGAATATCCTTCAACCATGACGAGATTCATAGAGATCTGAAATCATAGACCCCTGCTGATGTTCGCCTATTCAATAGGCGAACATCAGCAGGGGAGCTCTGTAGAAGTAATCAACTTTTTACGGCTCATTTGCTTGGAGGTGACAAATTCTCATATCAACGGAATTCCTGTACGTCAACAAGATTTCGGTTCAACAAAAAACTCAACTACAAATTAGCCGCATTGGAAGTCTTTCTGCCGAACCGGAATGCATTTGCCTCTGTAGTGGCTTCTCTTAAAATTTATTGTACTTCGAGAAGAGTGATTTTACGCACTTCTTACTGGGGAATTTTCCATTGTATATTTTGTTTACTTGTTTTTATTAAACACTAAGCGCCAATTATTTAACTGGTATATTACAAAATCGCGTCATAATTAAGCCCTTTTCTGTTTAACCAACGCTTTTATCAAACCCCATTTATCGTGAATAATTTCAATACAGCATATAAGGCAGACTGGAAAACTAAAGCACTTATTTTCTTAAACTAGCCCATCAAGAAAGAGGCCTGGAGGTCCAATGATTTCTGAAACCGCGGCCTAAGGTAACCCGTAATGGTTTGAAAGTAATGTCACTCTATTTTCTTTTTGCCTCTCTTGCAAGTGAAAGTGAGAGTTCACAGAGACTGTGCGGTTTTCTCGAGTGCGTTTTAGAAGCTGCCTTAACGGAAAGGTTATTACACTACCGGAATTAAAACATCGAGGAAATTATTAATTTAAAGCCGCGGAGTATTTTCCCCAACAATGAATAATATTACCTCTAACTTTCTGCGATAACACTGCAAAATATTTCAGATTATTTTTCAACCGAATAGGCTGCGAATTTAATGCGATGATCATGTTCACTTTCATACCTTCATCCGCATTTCATATATTTCAATTCATGCTTACAAGATCTCCCTAATTTTATGTCTGAATGCAAGGCTTTTTTAATGGAAACTTCATTCAAGGGCAGAACTAACACTAAGCGCTAAACGGAAACTGCCTTATGAAAAAACTTTTAAAATTGACGCGCTGTTTTAAAGGCCTCACTGGATCAGGATGGGGTTAAATACAAACGTAAGCGAAACACTAATTTTGCAATATTTAAATAATGTCTAAAAAATAAAGCTTCCCTCTGAGATACCTGGCGAAGAAAATTCTCACAGAGCCACAGCCTAAAAAGGCTAAGCTGCTCTGTTGCATCAGGAAGGCCAAACGTTTTTTGTTAATGCTGGACAGAGATTCAAACAATATCTAAAAGCGAGTTTTTAGTTCCCTCTGAGACACCCGGAGAATAAAATTCTCACAGAGCCACAGCCTAAAAAGGCTAAGCTGCTCTGTTGAATCAGGAAGGCCAAACCGTTTTACTTAATGCTAGACGGAGATTCAAACAATATCTGAGAAGCGAGTTTTTAGTTCCCTCTGAGACACCCGGAGAATAAAATTCTCACAGAGCCACAGCCTAAAAAGGCTAAGCTGCTCTGTTGCATCAGGAAGGCCAAACTTTTTTTCTTAATGCTGGACAGAGATTCAAACAATATCTAACAGCGAGTTTTTAGTTCCCTCTGAGACACCCGGAGAATAAAATTCTCACAGAGCCACAGCCTAAAAAGGCTAAGCTGCTCTGTTGCATCAGGAAGGCCAAACGTTTTTTGTTAATGCTGGACAGAGATTCAAACAATATCTAAAAGCGAGTTTTTAGTTCCCTCTGAGACACCCGGAGAATAAAATTCTCACAGAGCCACAGCCTAAAAAGGCTAAGCTGCTCTGTTGCATCAGGAAGGCCAAACTTTTTTTGTTAATGCTGGAAAGAGATTCAAACAATATCTAAAAGCGAGTTTTTAGTTCCCTCTGAGACACCCGGAGAATACAATTCTCACAGAGCCACAGCCTAAAAAGGCTAAGCTGCTCTGTTGCATCAGGAAGGCCAAACTTTTTTTGTTAATGCTGGACAGAGATTCAAACAATATCTAACAGCGAGTTTTTAGTTCCCTTTGAGACACCCGGAGAATAAAATTCTCACAGAGCCACAGCCTAAAAAGGCTAAGCTGCTCTGTTGAATCAGGAAGGCCAAACTTTTTTTCTTAATGCTGGACAGAGATTCAAACAATATCTAACAGCGAGTTTTTAGTTTTATCTGAGACACCCGGAGAATAAAATTCTCACAGAGCCACAGCCTAAAAAGGCTAAGCTGCTCTGTTGAATCAGGAAGGCCAAACTTTTTTTCTTAATGCTGGACAGAGATTCAAACAATATCTAACAGCGAGTTTTTAGTTTTATCTGAGACACCCGGAGAATAAAATTCTCACAGAGCCACAGCCTAAAAAGGCTAAGCTGCTCTGTTGAATCAGGAAGGCCAAACTTTTTTTCTTAATGCTGGACAGAGATTCAAACAATATCTAAAAGCGAGTTTTTAGTTTTATCTGAGACACCCGGAGAATAAAATTCTCACAGAGCCACAGCCTAAAAAGGCTAAGCTGCTCTGTTGCATCAGGAAGGCCAAAGTGTTTTACTTAATGTGGGGCATGCAGTATCATCTTCACAGATCTAATCAGTGCAAAATTAAATAAAGCTTCAATCTGTAAATCAATTTTTGCTTTATGAAATTTTACTCACTTTTACTGACTGTTGATAGCCTCTGGCTTTGGCAAAATAAATGTTCCTGTTTTCTTAAAAGAGATTCGATAAAATTGAAAATATCCACTACGAAGCACACTTAAAAACTAAACTCTGACTCGTTTGCGATCAGGCTTAAGAAATAGTGATCTCCATCAACATTCTCCATGAACATTACACTTTCACATCATTAGCAGTTATTGAGAATTTACGAAATTATCGAGTGATCAGTGTCGACCTTGAAACGTTTTTGCGCTAAAATGATAATACGTATCCATTTGAAGATGATACAAAGGAACCCAAAATAGACTTACCAAGTTTCGGCCGATGTTTAGAAAATTGAAAAGGGCTGGAGAGTATCACCGTTCAGGCTAAATCCAGTCAGCGACCCTTAATAAAAATCATTTAAGCTTACATAATCAACAACGACGTGAATGCCCGAGTTTCTGACTTGACGGTCATCTGCCATCGTCAGGAAATCGTACGATATTGCTTCTCGAATGAATCCCTCATTTTAATGTCCCCATATCATTAATCCAAGACCAAGTACCTTTTCGAGATCTTCTCCGCACGACGAAACGCTTTCTCTGACTTCTCTGACCGCTTCCCGCTATATTTTCTAGTAGCTGGAAGGAATTTAGTCCTTCTTTGATCGCTTTAAACCCGCTTTCGTCTGCATTTCAACGGCGCAAGTTAAAGGCTTGTGCTAAGGTTAAAAACGACAACAACATGATCTTTCCTCTTTGAAAAACCAAACCTTGATGGGTTGACTCGAGCACCAGTACTATCTGTACTATCGACCAAATCATAAATAGCTATAAATAATCGGCCCTGCTACTTCCAAACATCATCTCTACATAAAAAGCATAAAATTTTGACTTGCCATGAATTATATCTGTCGGTAAAACCATTTGGTCACAGATACTGCGTACGAGATTACCTTTGTTTGGCAAGCGAGGGTCCAAAGACTGAAGATGCTTTTCCCGACGAACGCGCCACTTTCATGTCGGCTTTGAAATTCGCGCGAGATCGCATTGTGATACAAATAGTATCTGTCTTTCGTCTCAGCTCGTCTTCCATCAGTGACGCAAATTACACAAGTCATGACAGATTAGTGGCTATTAATTGAATCCTAATTAGGTTCTTACAAGGACACCGGAAATTGAAACTTCCTCCCTGTGGTGAATTTCAAAGTCGTATGAATCTCGTCATGCTATGGGAGGAGCATAATGACTATCCTCTAGCACTAGAGAAGATGAAAGTTAATGGTGTTGAAAAACTAATTTCTCATTTTAAACCAAGAAAAAACTATGTTGTTCATTATCGAAATCTTAGACAATATCTTGAGATGGGAATGAGAATAACTGCCGTTCATAGAGGAATATCTTTTAACCAATCTCCTTGGATGGAACCGTATATACGAAAAAACACAGAACTTCGAAAAACAGCAGCCAACAGTTTTGAGAAAGACTTTTTCAAACTAATGAATAATTCAGTATTTGGAAAAACAATAGAAAACATAAGGAAAAGACAAAATATAAATCTTATTAATAATCGTAAGAAAGCTGCTAAACTAACAAGTCGTCCAAACTTTGAAAGGGCTACGATATTTGATAAAAATCTTATCGCTGTTCATATGAAAAAAACCGAAATTTATTTTGACAAACCAGTATACGTTGGTCAAGCAATTCTTAATTTGTCAAAAACATTGATGTTTGATTTTCATTATAATTACATCAGAAAGAAATACAAAAATAAAGCCGAGTTATTGTTTACAGATACGGACTCATTAATGTACCACATTTACACAGATGATTTTTATAAAGATATATCCCATGACATAAAAACCAAGTTTGACACATCTGATTACCCTCCCAATCATCCATCTGGAATACTGACAGGAGTTAACAAAAAAGTAATTGGGATGTTTAAAGATGAAGTAGCAGGAAAACAAATAACTTGTTTTGTTGGATTACGGCCAAAACTTTACAGTTTTAGAATAGAAGAGGATAAAGAGGTGCGAAAATGTAAAGGAATAAAGAAAAATGTTGTAAAAAAGAAATTAGATTTTGATGATTATGTTCAATGTTTATTTACGGGAAAAAAAGAAATGAGAAAAATGAAGATAATAAGAAATGAAAATCATGATATATATTCGAAAGAAGTTAACAAAGTAGCTCTAAGTAATGAAGATGATAAGCGCGAAGTCCTCTTGGGAAAGGTAAAAACGATAGCTTTAAGATAATAAGATAGTTATTTAATGAAATAATAAATGACATATTCAGAAGACCAAATAAAGAAATATCTAGAAATATTGCATAATTATACTAGTAAACCCATTGAGGAATCAAATTTGAAAGCTAAATGTAGTAATTGTGAAAATAGAGAATCTTTTACCATTGATTATGGTTATAAAATATGTGATGAATGTGGAGTAGCAAACGGTCATGTATTAGGCTTTTATGATATTAAAGATTGCGATAGATTATATTATCGTAAAAAGAGTGTATATCAGCGTAAGTATCACCATGAGAAAAAGGTCAATCAAATTTCTAAAAGAATAAACCTAACCGATGAACAAAAATACGAACTTTACGGTAAGTTAATGGCAATAGACAATCACGTCATGGAAATACTAAACAAGCAATACTGTAGAAAGAGAATGATAAGTATTTTTTATTTATTCAAAAAACTTTTGGCTGAGATGGGTTGTGAAAAGTACAAACTAATTTATCTTAAGATTTCACCACAAACTTTAGATAATTATGAAAAGTGGTGGGATAGTTATAAATCACTCAAAACCAGATAGATTTTAATATTGTTTTGATATTAAAATCACTGCTTACTTAGTCCAAACTTTTTACCATACCTACTAACAAATCTATCTGCTATAGGTGTTTGGTCGATTATCATTTCATTTATCAACTTCATACGATCAACAAACTCTTGTTTATTAAATTCATCTCCCCGAAGAGCTGACCGCAGTTCAACAAGTACTTTTTCATAAGTAGTGAATGCAATCCTTGTCATCTCAATTTTTCTCTTATAATTATTTTTTTTTCCAATTCCTGCCACAATAATTCCAGCACCATTTACTACTCCAAGAACAACAGGGTTTAGGGTTATTCCACCAGAAATAGTTCCAATCGCAACCAAACATATCCCAGAAATTGTAAAAACATCATCAAGAAATTTATAACTCTTATATGATTTCTTAAAACACCAGCATTTTTTGTGGTAGTGTTTATAAAAGTCTTTGAGGGTATTAACATCTGATTCTGACAGAGATTTATCTATATGGTTAAATTCAAAGATATCCTTCATTTTATTCTTTTGTGTATATTAATGCGGTGTAGTCAAGGGAGCGGGTTCCTCTATACTATATACGTTCCATTTAACTTTTCTTGAAGCATTACTTTGTGATATTGCTCAGAGTCGTCATCGTAAAAGTTTGGAGAGTACATTATTTTACTTAACACTCCATCTTCAGTTCTAAACGAAAAATGTTGTTCGTTGGTGTAACGAACGGATGGTAAACTTAATATTGAGCTGTAGTTACTTATTTTAACTTTTGTAATATTTGCGTTAAAATTTTCTATTAACCATATAACAATTTTTTTCCCATCAAAATCACTTGGCATAGTAAATTTACTTTCTACATTATTAACATTTAAACTTACTTCATTAGTTAATGAAGAATAAGCTTAAGTTAATAAAACATTTAGTCTATTTTTTTCTTGTTTACTTAAATAAAATGATCTATTTCTCCAATGATAAAAAATAATACAAAAAGTATATTTTGTTTTACCGATAGGAGGAAAAAAAGTAATAAAATATTTGTTAACATTTAGACCTTCTTTTTTTATATTATCTATGGTTTTATTAGGTATAAGAATATCTCTTAAATTATTACCACTATTAGAAGCTAAATAGTCAAAAACAATACCAGATGAGGTTCTACTTAATTTGTAATTAGTTGCATCAGTAAAATCATAAACTTCTTCAAAATATTTTCTGTAAATATAATTTTTTGTAAAAGGATGAATTTCCTTTACCATTCCAACTGTTGCAACACTATTGTTATTGTTTCTATCGAGATTGACGTTCAATATTTTTTTATTATTTCCATTAATATCAACGTTGTACACCACTTGTGTTGGTTTGATATCAAATGCTGTGTGATAGTCGTAAACTTTATCTGGATCGATATTGCTAAATGTTCCCACAATTCCATAAGTAATTATATAAACTCCTAGAAACTGTCTCGGATATACAGCCAAGTCAGTTCCATCTTGTGGTACATTAAACAAAATGTGAAGAAAGAACTTATTACCAGTTGACAACTTCCGGAAATTAGCTATTATTCTATGGTAATACATAAATTGTGTTTGTCCCTTTGAATCGCTGTACCTATGGGAGAGTTTCCTTACACTAACATTTCCAATTGATAATCCTGTTGAAGTTCCTTTGTCTACACTTATTTGTGACTTATGCCATAGTTGATAATCAGTGTTAAGTATTTCAAGACAAAGGGTATAGTCAACATTTGCACTTAACCTGTAAAAGTTGATTCCCATTTTATACTTATATCCACCTTGAGAACTTTTGTTTATACCCATAAAAATAACTTTGTGGTTATAATCATGAAAGTTTCCTTTTTTTGGTGCTAAATCTCCTATACGTTTTATAACAAAACTAGTTCCAGTATCTATTTCATCAGTCCATTGAGCTGCGCTTGACATTAGATAAGCAAACTGGTCGTTGTAATGACTTGGTTGAACTGCGTTTTTGTGAACTAGTTTGTCGACATAATTTTTGTTTACTGCTTCATTGTCTTGAGTTGGAGACCCAAGATTCTTTATTTTATTACCACCAAGGTTGACATCATCTTTTACAATCCCACTTATTACAATATCAGGTGTGTTGATTTCTATTCTCTTAAGTTGTTTGGTTATTGCTTTGGGTAGATCAGTAAATACCCTGCAAGTAATAGCAGAGTGATTGGAGTTGCCATGTGTTCGCAGTTTTACTCCCGACATATCATAGTTCCAAGACTTGTGAATATTTAATGACCAAGTGCCAGTGCGATTTCCACTTACCCAAAAGTCAGAATTGGAATGAGAGTCATCTCTTGGAATAAACCACAAAAAGTCAACTTTTACACTTCGCGAACCAAATTGAAATTCTATTTTGTTAATGTATGTGTTAGCAGTTGGTGTCCACCCTACAAGGGGTTGTCCAGGTGATGATGTAGTAAAAACAAAATCATCAAAGGATGAACCTGAGATATATTGAAGATACATGGTTGTTGGTGCAGCTGGTTCTGTTATTGTGAATACACCACTTGTTCCATTTCCAGAATGATAATCTATCCTTTCTATTTGTTGTCGAACCCATCCACGATTAGCAGCTTGTTGATCTGTGGTGGGGTTACTAAGATTTATTATTTTATTATTACCAACATTAAGGTTACCAGTCATAGTGACGGTACCATCTTTTTCTAAATAATCACTTAGATCTGGGGGAGCTGTGTTATCATCAACATACTTTTTGTTTGCAGCATGAGAGTTATCAGTTGGATTAGCAAGATTTTTTATAAATCTATTGTTCATATTTAAATTTCCCATCATTGGTATTCTTCCATTAATTCTAAGAAAATTAGAATTTGAATAAATTAATTTTGTTGGTTGATTAATATCATTTGGAGCTGGAAGATTATATATTCGATGGTTGTTCATGTCTATATTTCCAATCATTTTTCTTGATCCATCTATTTTAAAAAAAGAACTATCATTGACTTTGTTTGCTGAAACTGTATCATCAACATACTTTTTGTTTGTCGCATCAGTGCCTGATGTTGGTGGTCTAAGGTTAATTATTTTTTTATTATCCATGTTTAGATTATTAGTCATTGTAGATGAACCATCACGGGCAACATACTTCAAATCTGTAAAGCTAATGGTGTTGGTTGATTACCCCCATTTGGAGCTGGTAGATTAAATATTCTATTATTATCCATATTGAGATTGCCTTTCATTGGGTAGGAACCATCTCTGTCAAGAAATGTGTTGTCTACCTAATCTTTTGTAGGTGGTTCTTTTCCATCCAGTGGTGTGCTAAGATTTGTAATTCGGTATGTATTCTTCATATCAACTGAATCAACTGTTAGATTTGTTGTTGATGATCCACCAGAATTATCATCTACGTATTTCTTTGTAGCAGCATCAGTATTATTACTAGGTGATCCTACATTTGTGAGTTTTTTTCCACTTATATCATAATTTCCATCTGCGGTAAGACTAAATCCAACTCCTGGAGCACCCTGAATTCCTTTAGCAAAAGGATGATCAAAAGATTGTTCGTTAAATATTCCCATTTTTTTATTATTAGGATAGATTACTAGTAAAGTTTTTTGCAATACGTTTTCTAGGTTTATCAACGTATAAAAATGAAAAGGGTTTTTTTGTTGCCGCCCTATATATCTCTTTGTCAACTCCCAACTCAGATGATATTCTGTTTGCTTCCCTCGATGATGGAAATTCATACAGACAATAGTGAGAACAATTTAGCCGTATATCCTTTGGAGTTTTGTAAAAAGACTGACTGAGGTATATTACAGAGCAATTCTTATGTCGACCTTGAATGAAATAATCAATAAGTCGCCTCTGGTTTTTATCACAAACGTAATCATCAAATATTACAAGTTTTTTGATTGTCTTCGTAATCCATTTCTGTCACTGGAGTTATTTCGTCGTTACTCACATGAAGTATTTCATATCCAAGTTTACTACTTAACTCCCTCATTTTTTGAATTAGCTTTTGATACTTATCCTGTTCTAGATTACGCGCGTAAAGATAAATTTCATCGTAATACAGTAGTGGTTTAATTAACATGTGGTACAAAAGATTAGTCTTACCACTTCCACTGTTTCCACAGATTAACATTCGAAACGTATCCGCTGGCATAAAAGGAAATAACTTTATATTTTTTATCAATGTCATCGGCACTATCATAGTTTGGAATTTCCATTTATTTAATGATTAAATAATTTTTGTAGCAAGCAGGGGGGGTTTGGGGGGATGCAATCCCCCCCATTCCATTTATATATTTAATAGATAAAATGGATATAGAAGAAGCCAAAAATTTTGCAAGAAATAAAACCGAAGCCGACCCTTTGATTCGACAGGTGAGAGATGTTATAAAAACAACAAAATGGCAAAAACAAGATATGAGAGAGGGATTTA